GCTTCTTTGCAATCACAGGCTCCCAGCGCCAATCGTGGCCCCGCCTTCCAGCCGCTTCCCGCGCCAGGCTTCTGTCCGGTGAGCAGCTGGAAAAATCAGAAAATACCAGACATTGTACGTGTCCGGTATTTTCTGATTTTTTTTACCAGACAGAGAGCGCAAATACCGGACTGTCTGGTAGAATACTGGACACCTGGCAACCCTATCCCTGACAGGTGTTTGTCCGACTTGTTTTTAAAATCAATCTAATTAGCATTCTGTTTTCAGTGTTAGAGTGAAAGCTGGTCCAGTGAAAAATAAATAAGTTAGTAGTTTCAGATTCTGCACCTTCCCCAGAGTCCTGCTGCCAATTTTTGTAATTCTATTTTTGCTTCTGTTTTAAAAATGGAGAAACCTACAGATATGGGGAACTGACCTGAACAGGGGGAAACAGGGAAACCAACTATAAATAGCTGTTAAATACTCACAATAAATAAACTGAAGGAGTATTAACATTACTTTTCTCTAAATATTCTGATATGATAATCTTTCTCTTTCATGATGACCTGTTTAAAAAAATTCTAGGCCAAAGCATAATTTAGTTGCTGGTGTCTATTTAAAATCTTCATTTAAAAATAAAGTCTTCAGGCCTATCTTCATTAAAAAAATAAACTTGCTTGTTGTTTCATTTCACTAAATAGGCAAAGACAGGAATCTTGTCAGGTTTGGGAAACCAATTGGAATAGAGATGAAAGCATGGTGAGGCTACCATTCTTCTTGGTTCTTGAGGGGAACATTGCATTGTACAGATGATGCACTGAGTGAGTCTACACTGAAAAAAATTATAGTGATATTCTAGTAGCTGCCAACAGTGGTGCAGCCATTTTCTTGGCATGGGGTAAAAATGTCTGAGCGCTGTCTATGAATTTAACAGTGCTGTGGCTGCATTGCTGCTGACAGTTGGCAGTACTGGGCTGGACTATGCCTACTATTTTTTCTTTTTTTGATAAGGCCTCTTGATAAGAGTTCTTTTTCTGCAAGCAACAGCGCTTCTATGCAGCTTTGTGTAGGGATTCAGTAAGTAATGGCTGCAGCTCTGCACTGCTAAATGGTTTTGAATGCCCTTCCCTCACCTTCCCAGCTACAGTCTTGCATGATCATGTGGCCTGCAGGGGACACAGGCCAGATATACTAGTGTCAGAACAAATTTGGGATTCAGCCAATATCTGAATGACCGGTGTTAGCTGGAGGTGCATTGAATTTATCATCGTTTCATTCACCCTGAAATGGGAGCTGCAGGCATTTTGATAAATGGATTGAAAGATTTGTCCCGTTTCAGTGGAGCTCCCTTCAGTGTCTCCATATTCTTAGCTGAAAGACTACTTTATAACTTCCTGCAGCAATTACCCCTTGGTGAATCCCTTCCCAACAGAGGTTCCTCTGCCTCATCTAGTGACAAAACTAGTTTTCATTTTTGTCCATTGATTTAAGCATAGCACTATTACAACAGTCTTTTCTACTTCAGAGTTGTGGGAGGAGGACCCATGTTTGGAGTAGCAGATGAAATTTAAAATCAGGATTACAGTACATTGACAGAGTTGAACGGCTTGTTCAACAGCTTGATTATTCCTTGGATTTTTCTGGTCGGGTGCAGGGTGTAATAGAAGCAGAGCAGTAGTCTAGTCTTGTAAGGTTAGAGAGACTTGAGTATTATGGAGCAATCTTCCTTTACACCAGGTAACTGAGTTCTTCCAGCCATGCTTTTCTCCCTTTTCTGAGGATATGTTGAGCCCTGACAGTTGGGCATAGTGGTTACAGAGTTGGGCAGAGTGGTCCTCTGGAGGCATGGCAGCGTGGGATTTTTACCCTCTTTTGGATACCCTTTGTCTGGTGCAGTATTTGTTTAATAGACAACCAGTTGGCATCAAACGGCGCCAAAAGCTGTTAAAAAGCCCATTGTCCTAGCACAGAGATCTCTGTGGGATGCCTTGAGCTGAGGGAGGAGTATAATTAGTGCCTTGTTTGAAGGTAGCGATGCTAATGATTGGGAGAGAGCAAGTGCTGCAGGCCTGTAGTCTCAATTCTCAGTTCCCCGTGGCTCCTGTCTGTCTTCTGAGGAGCAGGCAAGAAGCATGAATTCCAGTAATTGGGTAACTGGGTAATCTGTTTTGCACAGATCTGTCCTAGAACACAAATCTCTGCTTTTTGCTTTTACTGGTGTATAGAAGCAAGAAGTTCTGTCCTAGGCAGGGGTACTTGATGTGCTGCCTTGGGGGCGGGGGTAGGGGGAGGAGTGTCATGAGGATGCAGATGATCACAAAAAATATCCTAACAGAAGCTTGGAGAAGTGGGGTGCGCCAGCTAAGCACACTGGCATTTTATAGGCATGAGGACTAATGCCAGCCTACACTGAAACACAGAGAGCACTCAGGAAAAGTCAGGGCCTTCTGTTCTACAGTTTGGGATTGAGAAGGAGATGCAGACCAGTCAGCTTCCAAAGATACACCTGGCTTGGCTTAGTTAGGGCTTGTGATATTTCAAGGGTGTGTAGGTCCTCAGTCACAAATATGACACCTTCATTCTACCTAGGATCAGCAAAGCTGCCAAAGCAGACTTCAAAAAATGAGAATCCGTTGCTCTCAGGGGAGAAGGAGTGTTCCTTTCTGTATAAAACACAATGGAGGATGTGTTTGGGTGGAAGTTAGTGACGGCGAATTGGATATTTACCTGGGCTGGATTGCACACCTGCTTGCTGTTAGATTGAGGTGCTAGTCCATCATTTGTAGATATTAAATCCATTTTCTTCTTTCCCTTTCTCCAGGGTAACCAGGAGCCAACAGCCACTCCTGATGCAATGGTCCAGCCATTCACCACAATCCCATTCCCACCACCCCCACAGAATGGGATCCCCACAGAGTACGGGGTGCCACACACTCAGGACTATGCAGGCCAGACCAGCGAGCACAATCTGACACTCTACGGAAGTACGCAGGCGCATGGAGAGCAGAGCACGAACACGCCCAGCACACAGAATGGATCTCTTACGGTACGCACAGCCATTGCAGAGTGGGAAAACAATACATATCGTTCATATAGTGCTTTTCCTGAAATTATTTTTAGATTAGATTACCTGATGGCTCTTTTCCATCCCTAATGTCTCACAAGCCTATAGATCATGGGTGTGTGTGTGTTTGTTGCTCAACAAGTTTTGCTGCTATTGGCGGAGAGGACCTAAGGGTTTCTCAAAAATCAAAAAGGGTGCATGATGCCAAAAAGTTTGGGAAACACTTCTATAGATAATGTCACTCTTATATCAGAGGCGGGCAACTTGTACCCCAAAAGTGAGAGAATTATGAAAAGTGTTCACATATGCACCAACCTTCCTTCAGATATGCTCTCTTAATAAATCTGTTTTTATGAAGAGAGAAATATCGCCTCTCCTGCAGCAATGCTTTATGGTGACTTTCATAAGCTTTGTGACTGAACAATAGTCCTACACCAACCATTCTGGGGATGTCCTGCCTTTACAAATGTGTTAACTACTTTGAGTTAATGGGCAATAAAAAAAAAAGGGGAAAACATGCACTAGAAGGCTGAAATTATAGGTAGGATTAGAATTAGTAGATACACATGAAATATCCCAGTTCAAGGAGATAATGGATGGGGAAGACATTTTGGCTTTTTGAAAATGGCCAGGTGTATAGGTGAAGCAAAGATGTGGACATATGCAGAAGACAACCTTTTGGCTGAACAACTTTCTTCCTTGTTCACTTTCATCTTCCCATAGCCTGGAAAAGAAACTGGACAACATGCTGGCAGATTATCCCAGGGAAAGCTTTATCCACCCCTTAAGCCACTTGCTAAGATTTAACTTCCTAATAAAGAGCCTTATGGTGAGAGGCCTCGGTGCAAAGGGGTGGATTTAATCTGCTAATGCTTTCAATTTTTCTTGTAGTTAGGTACTTGGCTGAAAGAGATTATTTTTTCTCCCTATAAATGTGGAGCAAATTTAATGCTAGTGATTGGAAGGACTGATACAGTGCCAGTTCAAGCGTGTATGGATGCACAGCAAGTAGCACCCATGTCTCTGTGATGGGTCTTGGGTGCACTGATGACAGCATTGGTCTTGACCTTGAGATCTGCTTTGAACTATGGTGTTTGCAAGATAAATAGATTGTCTCACAACTGTACAGAAGGAAGAGTGTAAGCTTGGTTAAGTACATTGAATTCACTTCATATGGCACATGGCCAGTGCAAACCTAGTCAATGACAGATCATGACTAGAAATGGAACCGAAGACTGATGCAAGTCAAGTGAGAGTCATATAAATAACCTTTATGACACTGAGCTGTCCCAAGACCCATTCACCCAGTGAATGCAACATAGGAACTGGAATTTTAGTCTCCTGCCTGGCAATGCAAAGCAATACTAAGCGTTACCAGCTCAGTGTTGGAGTTGGCTGTTGGGAAAGCACTGTAGATCTGCATGCCAGTGCAGAGTGCTTCCTAGCTTCTCCATGCCTTTGTTATTCCCATTAGGGATGTAAAATCCTGTTTAATTGGTTAACCAGTTAAACATAAACGGGGATGAGGGAGTGGAATGCCCAGCTGGAATGGCACTCTCTCCTTCCCCTGCAGGCAGGGACTGCTCTAGCCCTGCCAGAGCAGCCCCTGCCTGCAACCCCCTCCCCCTATCACCAGGCCCAGCACAGACAGACGCTGCTCCATGGGATGCCAGAGCAACCCCTGCCTGCAGGGTGCCCAGGCCCACTGCAGGCAGGGGCTGTGCTGGGGCAGCCCCTGTCCATGGCAGGTCCCCCTGCAGGGCTGGAGCAGCCACCTTCCTGCAGCAGTCAGGGAGCTGCTCCAGCTCCACTGGTTAACCTAAACCAGTAAACTTCACCCGGACACTAAGAATGGTTTGTTGCTTTTTTTAATGGAAATGAATGATGTGAGCCTTGACCCTGGACACAAGCTGCTGCCAATCCTCTTGTTCCTCTTCCATATTAGGAGCCATCTACAGTGCATTGCAGGGAAGAGCTCTGTGTTTCATCGACTAATACAAGCTCCAGAGAGCCAAAGGAATGAGAATAGGAGTCCGCTTATGTGCTCTGGCAGGGTGAGGCAGTGGCATTTAGTAGCCTATGAGGAAAGAATAGAAGCTCATGTGCGTTGCTGAGTGCCTGCTGTGAGAGAGAATTGTTGTCTGGAGTCTGTGGAGGAAGTGCAACAGGGAGATGTTAGATAATTAAGTTGTGTAGCATGTAGCTTTCGTACCAGCTACTGGAAACAGTAGGCATGTCTACTATAACCATTTAACATAGTTAAAGGTGTGCAAGTGAACACTGCAAAGTAGAGTAGAGCTTTCCAGGAAAGGGTAAAGATTAAGTCCTTAAAAAAAAAAACAAAAAAAACCCATGACAAATTAGTGGTGGCAGTTTTGGCCAGGATTACTTAACCTGAGAGGATTCCAGTCTGTGGCAAGCCACTATGTGTTTCATGGAAATCCAAAGGGGAGTGGACAAAGTAGCTGAGGGCTTTCCTAGTCTGTGTCTTACATATTTTGGGCCTTGAATCTTTCTGCACTTGTTCCTTTCTATTCCTGTAGTGGGGTCTTAGTGTTTGAAGCTTTTTTGATTCCATAGAATATAAGCCTTGGGGTGTATTTCCTTTTAGTTTTTCTCTTTGCTCCACACACTAAGCAATCATGTGGAAACTGAGAGAAACTCACTGTATTGTGTTAGAATTAGGAGGCTTAGCCACTCAGGTTGGTGTTACAATACAGCACTCCAGGGAGATGATGCTATCTTTCTGAATATACCCGTAACTCAAGCGCACTGGCCACTATGCATGCCAGTTATTAAATTCATATTTGTGTGTGTTTGTTGCATGTGTGTATTCATCTGCCACGCACAAGTTCTCCCCCTTTTTAATCCTATCTCCTGACCCACAGAACTGTACTAACCTAATACTGTGTAAAGTTGTTTTAGGGCTGCTGATGCTCTCCTCTCACTACAGCACTCAACAAGAACAGCTGCCCTCACATGTGTGCAAGTGAGATCCCAAATCCAGCAGGTCTGCAGATTCCTCTGATGTTATGGTCTTAAGTTGGACTCGTTAGGGCACTTCAGGAATTCTTTCTAGAGAAAAGAAACATTTCCCTGCTTTTAAAACCAGATTTTGTGCTGCTTACATTTGGTGCAGTACAGAGTCAGCAAAGTGGGGGCGGGAGGAAGAACTTAAAATTCCTGCTTTTCAGCCTGGCAGAGGTGGGGGTTGTTGCAGAAATGACACAGAGAAGACAGTGTGTCACTTTTGGATTGGTTTTGGAGTGGGGTACATCTAACTGATAACAAACCTGTGTAGCAATGTAAGGAGTTCATCCTTCACGCGTTGGGACCAGTTTCTTCTCTTAAGAGCTAGTGCTAGTCAGACTCCGGCACACAAGCCAGGCAAGCTGAGGTAAGGGGGGCTGACAGTGACACAGTGAGTTAATTAACACAGTCTGGAGTCCCGAGTTCAAATGTCAGCTCTAGTTACAAATTAAAAAAAACCTTCATGAGTCAAGGTCTACTCTACTGGACATTCCTCTACATAAGAGCTAATCAATTATTTTCTGGCAAGGTCCACATTTCTTGGTCAGGGTATGTGCTTGGCTGTTTCCTGCCTGGAACTTGGAGTTATGAGTCTGTTTCCAAAACATCTGGCCTTTTTTCCTACACTATGCCCAAAGCACAGTTGATAGAGCTGGATCAAAAATTGACAGGGACATCAGTTCAAACTTGGCTTAACAAAACAACCTGCAGCAGAAGAGTCTGTTTCCCTGACTGATACTCTGCATCTCAGTTTTCCATCAGTGCTATGACTCTTGAGTTTTTATCAGTTTACAGAGGTAGACAGCCTGAGGACAGTCAATCTGAGACAGTCCAAGGTGGAGAGACTTATTTAGAGGAATGATTAACCATCTAGTGAACTAAAATGGCTTTCCTGAGAGTAGAAAACAATATTTCCCTATAAGGTGAATAAAACTGATGAAAGAAGCCAGTTGAATAGATGGAAGAAGCTCTGTGTGTGTGTGTGTGTGTGTGTGTGTGTGTGTGTGTGTGTGTATGGATCTGTGTCTAGTGTTATAAGTACATATATACTTTTAACACTAGAAATAGACATACATAAATTGCTTGAGATTAAAGTTCCTGATGCACCCTAATACATGGCAGGTGTTGAGAGCTTGCTTTTCACATTGTGTCATGAACTAGTACAATATAAAATCTAATTGCGGAGATCAGTGTCTCAGATAAATCTCTGGCATACTGTCACTTTAACACATTTAGTAAATGCAGTGCATACTCCAAAGGAATACTGATGTACTTTTTTCTTGGAGAATGAGGAATCACATTCGCAGTGAGGTCCACATATTCCAGTCAAACTGAATGGTGAGAGAAGAACTAGACTTTCAGATTTCTGGGTATATTATTTGCATCAAAACATAGGTTTTTGAATGGGCAAGGTTTTCCTAGGATAGGGGTTCCCAAACTTTTTTTTAATAGCATGAACCGCCTTTTAACAAAAGGAGTGTCCCATGGATTTCTTCTCTCCAATTTGCTGTTGCATAGATTACCTCCCCTCTCATGGATAATATAAGATCCCTGTGGTAACTACAGCAATTGTATATTTAGGAAATTTAATATTAAGAAAATACGTAACACTTACTTTTAGTTGTCTCTTAATGCAGTTTAACTGGTGGAGGAGCCATCACTGGGTGGCCGACCAGTTCTCTGTGGACCACTGAGGTTCATGGTCCACGGTATGGAAACCACTGTCTTGAAGCAGCTAAATATAAAATTTGAAACTTGAGAGCATGGTCTGACCATGAAGCAGCTTAGTTCAGTTTTCAGCACTTATTGTTTAATGAATAAGCAGGACACTGTTCACCACCACGTTCTCTGACTTGTGTGCCAAAGCTTCTGTATTTGATAAAAGATGCATTTGCTCCAAAGAGACTTTTATGATGGCTCTGGCTTGGTGGCCATCAAAAGAATCCTGTGTT